TCTTTCTTTCTTTCTTTCTTTCTTTCTTTCTTTCTCTCTTTCCTTGTGTTTGGAGATTGGGGTTGGCGTGTGCATTTGCCATGGAGGACCCATGTGGAGATCTAAGAACAACTTTATAGGAGTCAGTCTGCTCCTTCTACCGTGTGGGTTCTAGGGATTGAACTCTTGTTGTCAGGCTCCATGGCAGGTGTCTTTACCCACAGATTCATCTGGCTTGTTGCAAAAAATATCTATATTCCAGGTATCTCACACTGCAGATGTTACTTTTAAGTAAATGTAGTTTTGTTTTGAGATTTTTTTTGTCTTTGTTTGGGCCTTTTTTGTTTTATTATTTTTGTTTTTTGTTTATGTGTTTGTTTTTGCAACTCTTTGTAGAAGAACTACTTTGTAGAAGCAGTTGTGAACTTGGCTCATTTGAGGAGCCTTCTGGTATGATGCTACTGTGTTTGTATTCACAGATTTGTCAAATCCTGCAACCTTCCGAGATCTTAGTAAGCCAGTGGGAGCCCTAAATCCGGAGCGGCTGGAGAGACTGCTGGTATGTGTGTGTGGCTCTTTGCTTCTAAGCAGCATTGCAGGTCATGGCCCATGCTTGTTCAGTAGATGAAGCTCAGTCCCTGGACTTAAGTACGCTGTGTCAGGACGTCCTCACCCCTTTGCTGCTGTGGCTACTGTTTCCTTGTGCTTTGCTTTAATTTGGGAAGTAGGAGGATGACCTGCTTGAATTATTCTCATGCTGATATTGTTTGATAAATTTCAAAAGAGGTGTACAAATGTCATGTGTATTTTTATGCTCTACCCGCCTTTAGCTCTGGGAAGTGACCATGCTACCAGTCCCCTCCCAGCTCCCCTTGAATCCTTGGATAAAAGACACACACACAGTTTTTCTTTTTCAATTTGCCTCCTGACACAATTGTTGGGTGCTATTAACTCCCACCTGGAAAAGCATGCCCTTACCAATTTCTTATCTCAGTCTCTCGCCTGCCCCACACTTCAGTTGCTAAACTCCTCTGACTACCCACCTGTAGGAATGGCCTGTGTGGCCACTCCATTTTGAGATCTCACATAGTTGCCTATGGTTCTCCTCTCTCCAAAGCAAGACGAACTCCATCTCCTTCCTTGCATCTCCCTCCTGCCTCCAGGGACCCAGAAGTCCCCCCTTGTCCCTTCTGCCCAGCAATTGGCCCACGGCTTTCTTTACTGACAGATCAAGAACCAACTAGGGAACAGGACCTTAGCATCAGACCCTCTCCCTATACACAGAATTGCATCTGTTTTGTTGGATGTCAGCACCATCGACACCCTAAACCTGGAAAATGAGAGTCCACAGCATGAGTGCTGATAGTCGCAGCTGCACCTTCTCGCTGACCCTCTGCTGTTCCTAAGACAGGAATGGGGAATGCAGTGTGTCCGGTTCTCTGCTAAGGGTTGACTCCTCAGGCAGCCACTGTCTCAGAGTCACACAGGGCTGTCTGTCTCATGTTGTAGACTCGATACCAGGAAATGCCTGAGCCAAAGTTCATGTATGGAAGCCACTACTCTTCTCCAGGCTATGTGCTCTTTTACCTCGTTAGGATCGGTAAGCACTGGCATCAGCGGTGTTTAACCACTGAGCCATCTCTAAAGCCCTAGTACGTTGTTTCCCGTGGATTCTCAGCTAACTCTACAGTCTGATTTAATCCTGATTTTTTTTTCCCTCTAGCACCAGAATATATGCTGTGTCTACAAAATGGAAGATTTGATAATGCAGATAGGATGTTCAACAGGTTTGATAAAACACTTTAACATTTTTAAAACTTTCTGATTATATATGTGCAGTATGCTTGTTTTAAAATTCTAGATATGAACAAAAGTAGTAAGAAGTACAAAACCTGAATGGGCTGGAGCCATATACCTTAAGCCTCAAGAGACAGAGGCAGGCAGATCTTTGTGAGTTCTAGGCCAGCCTGGTCTTCATACAGAGTTCTGTGACAGCCAGGGCTGCCTAGTAAGATCCTGTCTTAGAAACAAGTTATTTCTTTCAAACGTTTTCATAATGTGTGTATATAGGAAAACATATGTTTTAAATTATTCTAATTGTATTTTATGCATATGAGTCCTTGTTTGCATTGTATGTTTGTATACCGTGTGTATGCTGTGCCCACAGGGGTCAGAAGATTTTTCTGGAACTGGATTTACAGACAGTTGTGATCAACCATGTGGGTGCTAGGAATCCAACCCATGTCTTCTAGAGGAGTAGCCAGTACTCTTAACCACTGAGCTATCTCTAAAGCCCTAGGGACAGATTTTTGCTTGCCTTGTTTTGTTTCAAGACAAGGTTTCTCTGTGTAGCGCTGACTGTTTTAGAACTCTCTCCGTAGACCAAGCTGGCCTCCACTTCTGAGATCTGCCTGCCTCTGCCACCTCATTGCTGGGATGTGCCATCACACCAGGTTAAGGAACAGATTTTTAAATGTAGATTTTTCTCCTGTCCTGAGCAGGTTTTTCCCATACTATTTTGAAATAATGCTTTTAAAAATCACTGTGTCATGTTTTAGAATATGCCAAAACTTACTTAAACTATTATTCTGTATTGGGCAATTAGATTTGTCTCCCCAAATTATATTCTTCTTAATAATTCTGCTATGGTGAAAGCATTAAAATTGGCTTATACATTTATATGATTAACATTTCCCTACCAGAATACAAAAAAGGAACGAAGTCTCTTTGTGTCTCACCGTGGTTGTGGTCTGTCTTTTTTTGGAGCCACAAAGCAGTTGCAATAGTGTCCTAAAGTGTGCACCTCCCATGGCAGTGTGCATGTGGTCATGTGGGGTGGGGTGGGCTTGGTTCCCTCTCCTGTGGTCTAGTGAAGTGCCACCAGCCCCCTTGGCCATACTCTTCTTTTTGGTCAAGGGTCCTCACACAGTGTCAATGAGAAAGCTACAGCACCAGAGCCTGAAACAGTAGGGGTCAGTGGAAGGACGCAGAGCAAAGCCTGCTGCTGCCGTCTCCACAGCTCGGGTTAATCAGCACAACACTCTTTTTCATGTCTAGTATTGCAGAAACCTGGAAAAACTGTTTGGATGGTGCAACAGATTTTAAAGAGGTAAGTAGCCTGGGAAGCTGGTGATCCACAGGGCTTTGATTTCTGGATGTTTTAAAACATCCGTTGTGGGGGCTGGAGAGATGGCTCAGTGGTTAACACTGTCTACTCTTAAGGAGGTCCTGAGTTCAATTCCCAGCAATCACATGGTGGCTCACAACCATCTGTAATGATATCCGATGCCCTCTTCTGGAGTGTCTGAAGAGAGTGACAGTGTACTCACATACATAAAATAAAAAAAAAATAATTAAAAAAATCTGTTGTATACCTCCATGCAGTTGATTCCAGAATTCTATGATGAAGACGTCAGCTTTTTGGTCAATAGTCTGAAGTTGGAGCTGGGAAAGAGACAAGGAGGGCAGATGGTTGATGACGTGGAGCTTCCAACATGGGCCTCAAGTGAGTGCCTCCTGAGGAACTCTTTCCCAAGTATCGTGGCTGTGGTGTTATTCGTTGTATTGTATTGCTTGTTAGTTTTAAGTATACTTACCTAATTTAGCTAGAATCCGTCTATCCCAGCCAGAAGTGTGCAGAGTTGACATTGTAGGGAGATTGATATATGTTTGACAGATCTAAATATTGTAAAAATGGTTCCTGCCATTTTTTTCAAGAAGAAAGAATTATGTAAGATGAAGAATAAAACTCATTAGGAATATGTATATCTTTAAGAGGAAAAAACATGTCTCTCTGAGAAGTTTTATACACAAATGGGTAGGGGCAAGAAATGAAAATATAATAGAGATGGTCTAAAATTCTGATGAAGTCTACTCTGATAGGTCCCCAAGACTTTCTCCAGAAGAACAAGGATGCCTTGGAAAGCAGTTACGTGTCTGAGCATCTTCACGAGTGGATTGACCTGATATTTGGCTATAAGCAAAAAGGGAGCGAAGCCATAGGGGCCCATAATGGTATGTGATATTGGCTGACATTTCACTTAGTGTCTAGTGAGAATGTGGGCAGACAAACAAGCTGGACCTCAGGAGGCTGAAGAAGGGAGAACATGGGCTCTATGTCCAGACCTGCAAACCAAATAGAATCTCTGATAGAACACTGACATCGGTGCCTGTGGAAGCCAAAGTTTGCTTTCAGTTAAGCAGGAAGAAGCTAGCAGCAGTCTGCCTCATCGGCCTCAGTGCTTACTGCCTCTATTTCTCTGTCAGTAACAAGGTACTTAGGTTCAGTCACTCCAGTATTGTGACCCATGCTTCTCTAAAGGAAAAAGTAATGCTAACAAAGGAAAATACAAGATAACAGCCTATCATGTCTACCAAGTACAACTCTGCTCACCAAAACATAATAACCGAAGTTAACATTTATTCAGTTTGAATATTAATCTGTTCACAAATAAAAATGAATTCTTCGAACACAGTTTTAGGTTGAGTTGCTCACATTCTGGACAGAGCATATGTAACTAAATGTACATTTTTTCAATAGTATTTATATCTCTCCTTCAGTGTTTCATCCCCTGACCTATGAAGGCGGTGTGGACTTGAACAGGTACGTACATGTTTACAAAGTTTTTCTGTTTCACTATAAAACAATAGTTCTATCTGAATTATTAATACATATATGGAGAAGTTAAATTATGAAATTATTTATATTTTGCTTTCAAGGTGCTAAAACATAGCTAGGGGCCAGAGGGACAGCTCAGCTGTTAACAGCACTCGATGCTGTTAGAAAGGATATGAGTTTGATTCCTAAGCACCCATTTTGGCAACTCAGAGCTATCTGGAACTCCAGCTCTGCAGAATCTAGTGCTCTTTTCTGGCCTTTTCAGATACCCATACATGTGTGGCATTCCCTCACACAGATACACAGATAAATAAAGAAAATAGAAATCAATCCTTTAAGAAAGAACATATTGTGGAAAGGTGTATAAAGAAGGCTAGCCCTTGCCTGCAGCGGCTTTGCGAGGCTTTGTCTCCCAGCTGACCTGCATCGTTTGAACCTGAACCTCATGTTTTATGGCATCCTTTATATTTCTTCCTAAAGCATTGAGGATCCTGATGAGAAAGTAGCCATGCTGACCCAAATTTTGGAATTTGGGCAGACACCAAAACAGCTGTTTGTGACGCCACATCCTCGAAGGATTACCCCCAAGTTGAAAAGTTTGTCCCAAGCCTCCAGCTACAACGCTTCTATGACAGACTCTCCAGGTAAGTCTTGTAAAGAGTAAGTGTAGAGAGGCCCTTCGTCTGTCTTTTGTGATTAACATGTTTGTGAAGATTCTGAAGCAGAGATGGAACATGAATTCCTGAGTTGCTCAAAGATATTTGCCTCGTAGGAGGCTCCAGTGGCCGAGGCTTGCCTTAGTAGTACATGTCTGCCCTTGGGCTCAGCCTCAAGCACCACAAAGCAAACAAACACACTTATTTGTTCTACTCCTGTTTCTATTCTAGGTTGTTTGTTGAAAGAAATGAAGTCACTTATTTTCTGGTCATTTATTATGACTGTGATTGCCCTGGCTCCTTCCTCTTCTGTGGTTTGACAGCTGCTGCTCCATGCTTGGCAGTGCTGTTAGTGTATACTCCCAGCCATGTGTGCTTTAGCACTCACCTACACCACACTCTTCTAGGAAGGACTTGCTCTGGCCTTGACTCTGCCAAACCCACATACAGGTCTTAAATTCAACTCAAACTGCTTTGCTTTTTAGCTTGGTTTTTCCTTCCTTCCTTCCTTCCTTCCTTCCTTCCTTCCTCAATCTTCTGTTAACATGTGGCAAATGTGTATAGAGCCTCTATCCAGGCCATAGTGGCTACTAAGATAAACTTTAAGAAAGGAAGGGTCACGCACCTCCATCCATGTAACCACATTTCTTATGTCATAGAGCCTCCTAGGAGGAGCCATGTAATGGCATGCAGCCTTTTATCAGAAAGACATCTCCTTTTCTTTCCAGTTTTGTCTCATGACACCCAGGCATGCTGAGCCTTTCAGGCATGCTGCTACAAGATTAGCTAACCCCCCTCTCCAGCCTCTTACTGTGAGGCCTTGATAAGGGCAGCCGAACATACACGTGAAGACATACAGGGAAGTCAGGGAAGTACACATGTTGACATACAGGGAAGTACACGTGAAGACATACAGGGAAGT